CCGGGTCCAGCCGGGTCCAGCCGGGTCCAGTCTGGCTCAGCTCTGCCTGAAAGAGCGATTCTGTCAGATTGATGGCGTTGTTAAGGGTGAATAAGAGCTTTATTGTACAAATTCTATTCCTTTGCTGAGGATAGCAGCATCATTTCTAGGTCACTGACTGTGAGTTAATGCCCCCTCACAGCTCAAGCCAAAGTTTTAACGAGCCCCCCCCCCCACCATTCCCATTTCACACCCCTGTTCCCAGCATGTATTTATCCAGAACAATTATAATTCTGCTCCCACCACAGACAATCAGCTCTCTGTTCGTCAGAAGATTGCAGCTTGTGTTTTGTCAGAGAAGATACATTATGGATGCTGACTGAAACAGTTTGTCAAAAGGCTCTTTCATCGTAATATTTGGGGGACAGGCTTCCAGATCCTTTCACCATTCACGTTTGTTCTCATAATTATCTCCAAATGCCACGCTGCTCTCTCTTACACGAGTGAAGCGCTTTTAAAAAGAAGAATTCTTCCTGGTTGCTTTGATGTTGATGATAATACACTATTATTTTTTTATTTGAGACAATCTGTGGCAGATTCAATCATTTAACTCTAGCAAGAAAAGCTGGGGAAAAAAAGAATTTTCTATCACTTCCAAATTCTTATGTTATGCTAAATCGGTTTCAGTTATGTTTCCTTTTAATGGGAGCCAATGATATTTTTTAAATATCTTCCAGTTTCCCCAATCTTACAGAGTATCATTCTTTATGCTGACATTTAATAAAACATTCAATTGGCAAACTGCCTTTTCCACTTCCACTCCTCCAGCGTGGGAGTCCCTACCAGGGGCTGAAAGCCCCAAACAACGCAGCTCCTGGGATCACTGGGACACTCAAACCCCTCCACCAGGATAAGGGGGCAGCCCAGGGAGGGCTTTTAACAATGTACTGAAGGGAAAAGAGAGCTGTGTTCAAAATATCTTTGACATGTGACTCAAAGAAGAGGATGCTCAGAAATAGCTCTGAACATCACTGTACTACTATAGGCCTTGGGGAATGCCATCAGAAGTAATCGTACAGCACAGCTAGACAGTTTCATCTTTAAGTGTTGAAACGCAAAGACAACAGACAACGGTTTGATCTGGTTTCAGAGATAAGCATGACTGGGTGTAATCCGCAGTCCAGCTGAACATCCGTCCAGATAGTTTACTAACACGCACTCTCTGGACTGTCCTTCATCAGAGGCCATCACTCTTGTCTTTCAGCGGAGAACCTTCATCATCATGGGCTCTGAATCCTGACAGGTTTTGTTCAAACAGAATATTTCTGTGTAAAACAAGTACAATTTGGAGTAAAAGTTTAAAACAACCAAATGAAAGCAGTCATACATTCATCAAATACAGATGAATGAAATCCATTTTTGAAATGATGACAGTCTCATCGGACTTGGGTCTAAAAGCCATGTTTGATGGTTTAGAAAAAGCTGTGTGATTAGCTCAGTGTTCCACTGGACATTAACTCAGTGGTCAGCCGTCCATCTCTCTGATAGACACGGCTTCATCGCTGAAAAGGCCCGTCATCACGGCTGAGTTTTAAAGGAAAGCCTGCCTCGGTAGAGCCATGTGTTCTGTGAATGATGAACAGCAACAAGTTCTTGATTTGCAAATGGCTCACTTATCCATTATTAAACTATCTTTCTCTGTGATCCTAAATGACTCTGAGTTAGAGGAGGGCCATGCTCTTTTCAACGTTATTGTAGGGACTTTGTTTGTATTCTAAGTATTTTATGAGCTCAAACCATGTCCTTCATTTCTAAATGTTCTTTTTTTGGTGCAAAATGACCTCTGACATGATCTGACTTCTCCTCAAAAGGCAGAATTTCCTATCTGTACATACACGGGACGGGTACCTTTCCATGGTGGAATTCCTGCACCGTGGACCTTTAAGGTATACAGCTAAGATTTGTACAGAGGAGCCAGCCTTTTCTGTTTTTTTCAGAGGGGCCATATTGTTCATTGTTGTACGTAGAAGCTGAAAGGCTCTACACAAAGCAGTGGAGTTGTACAGTTGTGTAGTTTAGGAACCTCTGCTCTGTTGTGTTTGACCATGGTACTGAAGCAAATCCTCGATTGATGAGGAATTCTTTGAATTATGTGAAAGAATGATCTGATATACATCCACTTTATTTAAATATTTAACATCAGATGCTTTGGTCAATAACGAGTTATGAGGATGTTTAGTTACCTTTTCAGTTGTTCAGTTTCAAAGCCACAGTTTGTGTACATGTTGTAAAATATTCAAATGAAAGTGAATGAGCACAAACAAACACTAACAGGTATAATCTCTAGTTTTTGGGAAGCAGTCCAACGCTGAGGGCCAATTGACCTACTTCAGTTTTATTCTCATCACATCTGAAATGGTGCTTTGTCATAAACTGAGTCACAACAAACAATGATTTTAATGTGTTTATCAGGGAACCAGTCGAGAAAACAAAATCACCATTGGGCGTAGCACAGATTTCTGGAAACATGTGACTCCTGCTGTCAGTCAGAGGTTGATGACTGTGAGGGAGGGGGGGGGCAGGGGTCTGGGGGGGCACCCCCCCCCGGCGTAGCACTGACAGGTGAAGGCCTCCGCCCAGGCCTGCAGGTCCTCCGCCGCCGGGACACCCACAGCCGCGTACCTGCCGCCGGCGAGCAGCAGCCGGAAGCGCTGGGGGTCCAGGTGCAGGTAGTGGGGGGAGTCAGGGTCCCGCCGCACGCAGCGGCCCCCCCCCCCGGCACAGCAGCCGGCTGCACAGCATGGCCGCCGCCGTCACGTTGGCAACGTATGGATTGACCACGGATGTGAGGTGTTTGGACAGAGACTGACAGGAAACCTGCAGGACGAGAGGGGGGTCAGATGTTCAGATACAGGTTTTTGTGCGTGGACTCATGGGGGAGTCACAGAGCCAGCAGCTCTCGTTAGTGTTGTGTCTTCCACACTTTGGTCGAAATGAAAATTGACATTTCATTTTGGTCATGGCCAAAGATCTAGTCTACATTGGGCTGTGGCCAGGTATTCAATCAGCTGGCCGTTTTGTTGAGGGTATCAACTTTAAAAGATGTTTAGTGTTCACAGAAATAGACCTGTGACTGGAACAGGTGATAAACAAAACATTAGCACGATCGCATATTATTTGAAATAGTAAAAAAAAAGTTTTACTTGCAATGATTTAGTTTGGAGAACATTAGTGAACATAAGATAAAACAGTATGAGAGGAACTGAAGAAGCACCTGAAGTTCATGTCAAATAAGAACAGACTTAACTGGACTGACTGTTTCCTCTAAGGGGGGAATGGGGGACTTGTCTTAGTTTATTTCTTTAGAGAGCAGCATGGTGTTTTTATGTGGAATTCAGATGCTGCAACACGGCTACAGCCACCTGACCACATGACTAACAACTTTGTGCTACTAAACTAACAAAATGTCAAACAAATTCATCAGAAAGAATCACACGCTGGACACACTGTTTCTGCGTTGTTCTGACACCAGCGCCAAATCGTTCTGACCCTCCTCAGCATTCACAAACTGAACATGCTGTACATTACATGCATAGGATGTGCTTTTGTTGTTTGTTTGTGGATTTATGAAAGTGGCATGATTGTAAAACTCAGCTTTTCTTTATATTTCCCTTTTCTTAAACACACGAACAACGAATGTCCAGTCAAAGACGCCGTTTTAATAGTTGATTAAACTGTATATTACGAAAATTCTGTAACATGTGATAAAACAGATAGTTTAACACAAAAAAGCAGCTTGCAGTTGCTCTTTCAAACATCTTTAAGCACAGATAAAAAAGACCTTAGTCACTTCGTTATTAGTACTTCCTAAAAAAGGAGAAAAGTGCTCTTTCATTTTTCTGTTACATTTTAAGTGACATTTCATTTTCTGAGTAAAGCATAGTCATTTGAGTTCCGGTTTTCAGACCTTTAGAGAATTGCATCTTTTCATTAGTAACGACATACACAGCTATCTTCACATTAAGTTTATGTGATTGTTTCTGCTCTCCTTTAGCTCCAAAAACATAAATAACTGTGTATTTTTAAAAATCTTTTTGTAGAATTGTGTTCATTTTCTTTCAGTAAATACAATGTGTTGTTATGTGTATTTTAAATTTCCAAACCAAATTAAATTAAAGACATGGACTATAAAAATAGGACCACATTTATTCTGTATACCGATAACGGTAAATAAGAGGACTAGACATTTTCGTTTAGTATAGCTTCCTATGTCAGTGTTATTTTTTATGTCTATACAGGAAGATTCCTCTTTGTATTACCAAATGTTTCAGTTCATGTTTCCTAGTGAAAAATGATATTGTTTTACATACTATGTATGTAGATGTAACAATTTTAAGTGTATTTTTTACTTCATATTTCTTCTTGCAAGTTATCTGCATGCTAAGGTCCAATGGGCTTTATAAAAGGAGCAAACTATGAAGAAAAGACATATTGGGACTAACATAAACACAATGGTAAAATACTGGCAACCCAGTTGCCGATGACCCAGAGCATTTTCAATAGAAAACAACAATTCTTTTCCCTCTAAATACAGACACAGTGTGACAGCACTTTAGCTCTACCTGTAACATGCCTCTTACTGTGTGGTGTGGCAGATTAGAAAGCAGCAGAGGCAATTTGGTCTTCAGTGTCTTATTCAAAGGCACTCCCCGTTTTGATGGGGGTGAGGTCTGAACCACATACTTTTAAGCTACTGCTACCATGTCACGGTTGCCGGGGGATGAAGGTGGTAGGATCCAAACACGGTGCCAGGGGAGGAACACAGGAATCCAAGGAACTCAGGACTTATCACAAAGGGCACAGCAGAGGCCTCATACAAAATGATTCAAGGCGGACCAAAAATCCTAAAACTAAGGTGAGCAAAAAACCCAATGAAACCTGAGGATGAGGAGAAGCTTGAAGAAAGAGGACGAGTTACCTTATTACTGTAGTCTTTTGTGGCTCCCCACATCACGACCCCAGAAGCTCCCAGAGCTGCAGACTCTCCCACAGTGCTGACCAGATCCATCTCCAAAAGCAAACAAAAGACATGAGTTTTAACAAACAAACCAAAAAACATGTTTGTCATACTTCATACGTCTTTCTAAAAATGAAAAAAAACAATTCTTGGTTATCCCAAAGTTTAAATACCACAACATTTTCACATATTTATTTTAAGTATTCGCATTGTTCAACAGCTATGACACTTTCTAACACTTATAATTTACAACAGTTCTCCAGAGATTATGACTATTCTACATGACATAATACTACATATGTATGCACAAGTTCATCTGTATAACTGTATACTTTGAGATTGTGTTGATTAGTTTTAATTAAAGAACATCAAAGCAAGTCTACTTATTTCCCCTGAAACATTGGGCTTTCTCTACCAACATCACTTTTTTCACCAATTTTTGCCAATTTTTTTATTAATGATTTTCTTAATTTATGTTTTTAAAAATATTCTGACGAATGAATCCATGTCACAAATGTCAGATTCCTGAAATTGTTGGTACATTTCCTAAACCTAAAAGAAGTACCAGTTGTCAAAGTGCCCATATAAGGGCTTGAAAGTGAAGGGCATATTGGGTGTGGTTATTTTTGTATGATCTGAGGGAAACTTTTATCCGCTAACCTCATAGTCCCACCCACAATTACTCCTTTTTAACATTTTCACATATTGGAATTCTATCAGCAGTAGGCTATATGATCATGGGAAAGGTGCATGTCTCTTGTTTTTCTGGCTAGCAGTGTGGTCTGGAAAATAGTGGGATTTCTTTTACTTCACTTCATTGCTAATAGTTTTATGACCTTGGGTGCAACAGTGGTCTTGTAAAAACGCTTAAGATGCAATAATAAAGCAGGATTTTGAGACCTATCTTGGGAATGCGCATTCCTAATTGGGATTTTTCCATCTTCTTGCATAGTAAAAGTACATCCTCAGGTAGAATGTTTTCTATAGATAAGTTAAATACCATTTAGAATGGAAGAGATGCCTTCAGTTGGATTCACAATCTAAATCATATCCACCAGTGCTCACAAAGGTAAAATCATTTTAAGGAACCAAACAGTTACCTGGCTCTCCAACTTCTTGGTCTGATCCCGGTAGAGCAGCCTGGAGTAGACATAGACTGGCACCGTATAGGCCCGCTTTGGGAGAGCTGCCACTCTAAGCGCCTCCTGGACACGATGGCGAACGTAGAGGGCAGCTTGGGGGGAGTTCCTCAGGCTAAGGTGGAGGTAGATGGAGGGAAAAAGGGCGGAACTTCGCTCCCAGAGCCATATCATTTGGTTGTTCTGCTTCTGAATCTTTGAGGAACACTTCCCTGTGTAGTTTTGCTTCTCCCATCCATAGTTGAAGCAGTCGGGGAACAGGTAGAAACCCCAACGGCGGCTTGGTCGCGCACCAATCCCAAGGCTGATCGTCTTCTCCATGAGGCGCCGCCCAGCTAGCTGAAACTGGTCCCTCGCCATATTAGAAATTTGCTTTGATGACAAATGTGGGGCCATTTGTAAAGCACGAGTGAGAGACAACTTCTGATAAATGCGTTTTGATCCCCAGTTCTGGTCCCAAAGAGGTCGCCAGGACTCCCAGTCAATGACAGCGAGTCCTGGCGCGGAATCGTGGGAAATGTAGTAATCTATTTGACTCTGGGCTTTGGCAAGATGCTCTGTCAGGTTGACATTCTGAGGAACACCACCTTTGTAGCTCTTTTGCTTCTTGATGTCAAATTTGGGGTAAAGACCCAGCCTGTCCTCATAAAAGATGGTCAGGAACTGGCCGGGCACAGCTGCAGGTGTGGTCACCGCCTTGAACGCTGCTGTGTCCAGTGGAATGTGCAGTTGTTCACATCGGTCAGTGGGAGCGTTCCATAAGACCACAAAGGGATGACCATGGATCAACGGTGGCTCCGTGGGTGGTAAAGCCAGGACTGAGCCAATCACACAGAGAAGAACACCGGACAGCCAGGGCGGGGCCATCATCACGCCTATCTGGATGGAGACAATAGGCAGCGGATGCATGAGAGCAGCTATTGGAAAATAGCCTTCATTTGACACACTGTGAATTTATTACTTGACTTAGTACTTGCTTTGACATTTCTGCATTTGCTTGGCAGCTTTGCAGTGTCACGGCGTGTTCCAGAACTGTTAGTCACAAGAGGAAGTCAACAGTAAAACTTTTTTTTTTAAAAGAAGCAAGTCTACCTATTTCATTCACCAATAAGATCTCAATGAGTATTTCCTCTTTAACCTGCTTTAACGCAAACATTTAAGTCTACATTACTTGACTCCACAGTGGCTGACTGTAACGGTGTGCAACTCCTACAGAACTACAAAACCCTGTTTTGTTGACCGCACATTGCGTACAACACAAACAATGTTCCCCATCTGAAAATGAAGATAATGACTCCAAAGGGCCTAGCTCCTTTTGGTATAATTCACAGCTGCATACTTTGAAGCAGAATATGAGAGACCTGGAAACACTATGATGTTTGGCTAATCTACAAGAGTCTCAAGTCTTGATTAATCAGTCAAATATACAAGAAACCTTTTTGTAAACCTAGAACTGCTCATTACTCATCATTGATAGATTAGATTAAGAACAATCCCTGGTTCCTATTCAGATTGTAGCAGCTGACAAAGACTGAGATCTGTTGAGACATGTGCTTTAAAAAAACATGTTCATGAACTACTCCACCACCAACATTTATTTCTAGAGAGAAGGCTGTGGAATCCTTTTCTTTAGTGTCACTATTCCATTCCTGAGTACTGCAGCTTTAATCCAAAACGTCTACAGTGCAATTACAATATTACAGTTAGCATCAACAATAAGCTCTATAGCAGAAAATCCCTGGTCAGACTCTGAGGCAAAGGTGTAGAGTGTAGAGAGCAGAAAGAGAGAGTAGAGGGGAGGAAAAGGAGAGAGTTAGGGTAGGAGAGACTCTGAAGAGTTTCCTGAAGATAGACAGTGACACCTTTTTAGATCTTGTATCTTCGGATCTTCAGTTGTATTTAGACTGCTTGTATCCATTACATTTTTAACAATACAACAATCCTTATATCATCAGCGTGCGTTTCAAACTGAGTCCTACACCGACCTGTCAGCGGTACATGAAGAAGTCTTCTCCCAAACCACAGAATGTCATAGAGGTTCAGGATTCTATTCAATATGATTCTATTCTGTTTTAGCTTCTGTTATCTAGCTCCAGGTCAAATTCAGAATGGACTTTTGAATTTAGCTCATTACATATAATGTACTTTATGAGTAGATTCTTAACCAGATGAGGAATGGGAATGAATCCAGCGAGAGTGTTTAATGCAGGGTATTGCACCTGTGGGGTTAAACGACAAGCATTTGAATAAAAATCCCCTCTGGAATCCAACTTGTTCTTTAGCTGTAAATGGACATTTTAATGAATTGATAACGGGTGCAAATTTGTATGCCACACAGTGCAGGCCACAATGACCAAGGTGCATGAGAAACATTCTTCGTGGCATAGAGCTTCCAAAAATGTATGTGTCGCACTTCAAATAAATCTGCATAGTCATGGAAACTTGTATGTGTTAAACCTGAGCTACATGAATAAAGTGGATTGGATGAAAGATTGGCTCCTGCTGTCTGGTGTGATCTTCTCTGCAAGGCACCAGCTTTCACCCCAGACCTGTGAGCGGATCTGAGATGAAAGGTTTGGGTGGAAATAACATTATTTACAAATAACTAAATGATCATTAATTTACTGAAAGGGATTTTTAGAAATTTGACAGAAAGTATTTTTGTATTGTTTCTTTTGCATTTTGATTAAGTGCACAAGAGAAACATGTGTTCCAACACGACAGCACTAACGTGTACAGGGTACCCAGGAGTGTTCACTGGGTTTGTTCTAACCTAAAAACAATAGAATAGACAATAATCAGAAATACCACAACCTTCCTAAAAAAGCATAAATAGGGCAAAGAAATTGCTTTTGATAACTCCAAGTGAACAGGCTTACTATGCACAGCAACTCTCATAAAGTTTTTCAGTTTCATATCAATCTGAAATTGAAATTTAATCAAATAGTCAAAATGGTTAATTCATATGAATATGAACACACAGACGGAAACAATCTTTCATTAAATCCTGTCCAATCCCCTTTATTCATATAGCATAGTCATTAAATCATTCAAAATATACATCCATATACCAAATCCTACCTGCTGATGCACTCCTGCTGTGAGTCCAAACCTCTGTTCTTTGCATCTGGTTTTATGCTATTTCATGAGTCAGAGGAAATGGTTTCACAACATGATCCTTATCTTAAAAAAGGTTTCAGAAGTGGGCCTGTTCACATGTTTGGTATGTTGGTGATAGTAAAAAAACAAATTCTCACACACCCAGTTAGAACTCATATTGCTTTTCACAATTAGCAAGTTTGAATCAGTTTGGTGCGTAGAGCTGAGTTGGATGTTTTATTTGTAACATGTCATTTCAATGCTCCACGTAAAGTAAAACATACATGTTAACTGTGGGTTCATGCGAAAGCTTGTGTGTGTTCCTCTTCCAAGTGTTTCAGTGGATGAAAAGTCAAAGTTTATTTCGTCCATTTTTTTCCTCTTCTCATTCTTTGTTGAAGGGAAGAATCTCACAAGAAACATTGTTTGAGAAAAGTCTCTTCAGTGCATTTTCTTTTCCTTATCAAAATAAAAACTCAGAATCCATCATTTATGTAATTTGATTTACAATCATGAAATATGTTCAAACAAAGATTTTTTAAAGATCCAATAAAAGGCAGTGGCTACACTGTTATGATATTAAAGTCTCTTTACAGTTGGTCAGAGAATTCTGGGATCTGACAGCAATCTTAAACCATTAGGTGACCATTGTCAAAGAAATCTTTGTTTTGTTTAGTTTTTTAATCAGTAAAAGCAGGATAAGAAGCATTTGTCCTAAAGCATACAGAACATTTTTATGGTACTTTTTCTGCACTCAGACCTAAACTATCGCCTCTTTTAGGCTTAGACTAAAAGAGGAGGACCGCATGCTCCAGCAGGGACGGGCAGCAGACGCGTTTGGGTCTGTCTCAAGTGTTTTCTTTAATGAGCCTGGCTTTTAATACCCTGGATCTGCACCTGTTGGAGATAATGATACCGGTGTGAGGATGAACGATGGATTCTAAGGCTTGCTACTGAAATTGGGAGGTAAGGGAAACTTTATAATAACAAAGCTTCTCTTGGAATTGCGCTGGCAAATTTGGACAGACATGTTCATATTATCATTCTGTTGCCATAGTGCTGGACAGGGATAAAAACAAAAACAAAAAGAAGCATTGAGCGATTATGTTGAAAAATGGTCACAGCACTTCATAAATACTAAGTTGAAAATAACCCACAGTATGAAGCCCCCCCGGCGGGCGCTGGGCCCTGCAGAGCTGTTTGCCCTCTCCGTCTGTCCAGCCTGCTCCCTCTCCCACTCCGCCCTCCTCCTCTGCGTGTCCTCCTCCTCCCCCCCCCGGCTGTCCTCCTGCTCGCGGACCCTGTTGGCGCTGATGCAGCGGGGGCCCTGGTGGCCCTGGTAGCAGTGGCAGTGGAACCTGCTGGCCAGCAGCTGGAGCTCCTGCTGCGAGGGCCAGCCGGACACGGAGAAGCCCCCGTCCCCGGCGGGCAGGATCTGGTAGTCCCGGGCGCTCAGGTGCAGGTAGTGGCCGGCACACGGGTCCCGGCGCACGCAGCGGCCGTGGCCCCCGCACAGGAAGCTGCTGCACACTTCGGCCGCCCTGGTCACGTTGGTGATGTAGCGGCCCAGGCGCCGGCTCAGGTAGGACTTCACCTCAGTGCAGTTATGCTGTGGAGAGAGAGTCCGTCAGAGCTGGACGTGTTGGTGCACTTCACAGCCAGCACAAAGGACTGCTGGACGTCACCCAGCAGACCTCAGAGGCAAGAGGACTCACTCTTGGAAGAAAGGCAAAAAATGTCATCTTCATCTTATGTCTTCAGAAAATACACCAAAATCTTTCATTCACAATGTAAATGTGAATATGTGCCAGAGTCTCTCTAAAGAGCAGGCTTAAATATTGCAGACTGAATCTGAGTAGGTGTCTGTTGTGACAGAGGTCAAAGGCCACCTGTCTTCTGTAAGTAACTCAGAGTAGGTCTGAGCTATAACTGTTGTTGATTTGGCGCTATAGAAACCTCTCTCTGTCTTCGATTGTTTCTGATAAACTCCTTTCCCAGCAGTTTTTGGATCTCATTCACTGATGGACCCTGTAGGGTCTGGGGGGGGGGGGCTATCCCAGCTGACATAGGGGGAGAGTATGGGTACCCCCTGGATAATTCACTATAGGCCACTACAACACCACACATAGATGAACAACACACACACACATTCACTCCAAGGGGCAGTTTAGAGTGTTCCCGGCTGTGAGAGAAGGCTGGAGTAGCTAAAGAGAGCTCGCACACACACGGGCAGAACACGCAAACTCCACACAGGTCCGGGGGGAAAACGTTTTTTTTCTGTAGTTTTCAGAGTTTACACAGTTTACGTTTGAGGGGACTGTAGTTGACAGTAGAGTCACTTGAATGTTCTCATCCCAGATATAGGAAAGCATATCCCCATCTTCCACAAAGGCAAGTGTTCCTCCAGCCACCATCATGAACATTCACATCCTCTTCTCACCGATGGAACTCATGTTCTTTGATAATGTTGATAGAGCCACATGGTGTGGACGTCTGTCATACTGTTGCTGTGTATTGACAGCAGGGGGTTGTGTTCCTGGGGTTTCTCTCTCAGTCTTTTGCTGGTTCCTGAAGATGGCTGGGGAGGAACGGCCTTGTTTGGAGCACTCTGGTGGGCAGGTCCAGGAGCTGTATCGGTTTAGCTGAGATCTGTTCAGCGCCGGAGAGAGAGAGAGAGAGAGAGAGCACGCACCTGTGAAGACGTCAGGTTCAGGTCCCCCCAGATAACAAATCCTGCTGCCCCCAGAGCAGCGCTCTCCCCAATGGTATGGATCAAGTCTTTCTGGGGAAACATGAAGCCCACAAATAAGATCAATGGCACTTGTAAAGAAAAATCAACTTGAGCCTTGAGTTTTTTTCCTCTCTTCTAAACTGACATGCTCGGTAGCAAAACTCCTCATCTCCTTGTTTCTCCACAAGATGAAAGGGCTGATTAAAGTCCCTCTCAGACTTTTATTAAGTAAAGAGAAAGCACTGACAAGAACTATATTTCAGTATGCTTTATCAAGCATGCAGGTACAAATTGTATTTGTTTAATATTTATTAATGAAGGATCTCTACAGAGTAAATAAGATAAAAAAGGGTATTGAAAGTCAGTATTTACTAAGTCTCAGAATGGAAATGCAAGTTCGGGAAAAAATGATATTTAATTAAATTTCTATTTATTTTCAGACATAATTTTACTCTCCATTTACCATTAAAAAGAATGTAACATTAAGATTGACACATTATCAATTGGAATCAGTGTTCTGAACAGTGATCCAAATGTGAGAACCCTCCACTGCTCAGCCTAACCAGACAGCGTTGCTTCTGCTGTTTTAAAAGGCTTTTACATCCTGCCATATTATTGTGTAAGTAGTTCCTACAAGTAGTGTCAGAGTTTGACTAATTGTCCATACAAAGCCTTACAGTAAAAGGATCTCTGTTGTACCTTGCAACAGCCTAAAAGATCAGCCATAAACTCTTCACCATCAAAGCATTAAACAATTCATTTTCCCCATCAACTTTACACATCGATCAGCCTAGAAGAGGAGAATGTCATTTAAAGGGTTCGATGCATTTGGTCAGTGCTATAAAGTAGAATATCAATTCATTTTAATAGATGAGTTATTCTTAATCTGGTTCAAGCTTCTATTGCTGGTATTACCTGGAAGGCGACATCGGTTGGAATAAGAACGGATCATATTTTCACGCAAATTTGTCAGTCTGTATTGTGAAAACAGGAAGGTGTGCCGTTAATGTCAGCGCTGAAGCAAAAACCCTGTGATCTTACTGTGGTGAGAAAGGCCATGGCGTCGTCTCGGTAGGCCAGCCTGAGGTAGACGTAGGTGGGGAGGTCGTAGTCCTTGGCGGTCATTGAGGCGATGCGGAGCGCCTCCCGGATCCGGTGCTGGGAGAAGTGCAGGTTGCTGATGCTGTCGGTGTGCATTTTCCTGAAGGCCACAGAGGGAAACAGCGCCGTGCTGCTGTTCCACAGCCAGGCCAGCTCGTCGTTCCGCAGCCTCTCCAGCGAGGGGCACAGGCCCGTGTAGTCCTGCTCATGCAGGTTGTAGTTGTGGCAGTCCGGGTAGAGGTAGAACCCCCACAGGCCGTTGGGCCGAAGGCGGGTTCCTAGCTGGATGGTCCGCTGCATGAAGGCCCTGGCGCTTTTCTCGAAGCGGCGCTTTGCCAGCGTCTCCACCTGAGCCGCGGTCACGTTGAGGTAGGCCTTCAGCGTGAGCTCCTTGGATTTGCGGCGGTATATTTCTTTCTTGTGCCAGTTCCGGCTCCACTGAGGCCGCCAGAACTCCCAGTCGATGACAGCCAGGCCACGGAAGTCCTGAGCGGGAATGAAGTGGAGGATGTCCTGGTACACCTTGAACAGGTGCATGTCCAGGCTGCAGTTCTGAGGCACGCCACCATTTATGGCATTGCCTTGTGGGGAGTAGTGGGGATAGTAGCCCAGCCGATTGGCGTAAAAAATGGTCACATTCTGGCCCGTCCAGCTGACGCGCGGGCTTCCTTTTATGTGAAAGAGGGGGTCAATGTTGGCTGTGACATTATACTTGATGCTACACATGTCAAGTGGAACATTCCATGCAGCGATGAAAGGTTTCCGGGGAATCAGCGGGAGCTTGGCCGGTTTCTGGCCAAACGTGGCGTTTAAGAGCGGCAGCAGCCAGGAGTAGGTGAGGGCAGCGGGGAGCGTGTGGTGGATGCCCCCCACCCGCATCGCCGGCATTCTGGAGATCAAGAGCTGGAGGCTGCTGTCATCCTGAAAGGAGAGATGATAAGAAGCAGAATAGAGGGTGGAGAAAAAGAAAAGTTCAAGGTTTTTTAACAAACTTTTGCAAAACAATGACACCACTGTAACTTAACCTCAGTTTGGATAAGAGTGAATTTTTGGATCATTTCTATGATTCAGACCACCTGTGCAGTAATTGTAAACAAATCAAAATAACTGAGTAAATAATGTAAAATGAAGATATAAAACCTGATGTTGATAATATAACTCAAAGAAAAACAGTGAGTACAGACAAAGACAGACTTCCTTAAAAGAAGCAGAAATGGCTCATCCTGTAGATTTTGACTTTAGGACTTGAGGCTTCTACCTGATGTGGACTTTGCACCAAAGAGAATGTGAGTTATCACTTCAAAAACTGAGCTAGCTATTTGCTGCAGATTTCTTGTGTACAGAGACTCCCAGCTAGGCTGTGACAATCCAACCTAACCATTTAATCAGCGAGTTTTTCTTTGAGTGCCAGAGTGCACGAGAAAAAGACACAACAGATTAAATTAATGCACAGTTGAATTTCATCAAACGAGGCAACGACCACAACAATCTGATGCCCTTTTTTTGCACTTTGCCTCACAAGTTTGTTTAAAATTCAGTTTTGAGTTGATGATGAGTTCACAGGCATATTCTGACAGCATATGCACCAAATGCAGAGAAGCATACTTTAGCCAGTACAAATCCAATAAGTTCACCTTTGTCTCCGGCTGCTACTAAAATCTAGCCCTCCAGATTACTAATAACATTATTCTTTTCCAGAAACCTTTTAGTTGAATTGAGTGTTGGATTCATAATAAATCCAGAAGAAAAAAATGATGACACATCATAAGTAAACTGCACCTGTGTTTCTCAGAATCTCCAAATCTACCAGTTTTCCAAAGATTAAAAAATAGAGGTTAAAACATCAAGTAGTAAGCAAAGTAGCTGACCAAAGATATCATTATTACAGATACAACTTTTCTGCAAGAGAAAGCTTTGTGAATGTCCCTCTGGTGAATGGTCATTTCTACAACATTTTCACTACCTACTTGCACTATATTTGCTCAGAAGAACAATTTAAGTAACGTACAAAAATCAACTTTCAGAATTTCCCGAACTTTTCAACATATTCGCAGATTTTGAACCAAATATAATCGAGGATGTCAAGAAATCTAAAATATACATAAGTTGTTATTGAACAAACAAAATTGTTTTTTAGAAATCTAAATCCTCTTTGCATGGCAGTGCTGCTGGGGACATGTGGTGTGTGTTTCTTTGTCTGTTTGTGGAAAGCCAGTGGGTGGAACTTCACACTGAGACTGTGGGGCACATCAGCAGAGGTCTGTGTCCTCTGGCTGCTCCATCCTCTCAGTCCTGGAGACCCGGGGGCTTCATGACACTCTCAGATGAGTGTGCAGTTCCCTGCTGTGGCCTGCAGGGGGAGTAGCAGGCCAGACGGACACTACTGGGGCCAGCTCAGATTTGTGCAAAGGCCTTCTGGCTGAACTGATCTGAGCCCCTTTTGCTCCAATCAGAGGCACTTATCATGGTATAAAGGAGAAAAATGTTACAACGAAATACATTGAAGTTAATGTTTATAGTTTTGGTTTGTTTTAAAATGAATGATTCATCCGGAGTAGCTTTGAGCTGTGGCTGAGTCTGGAATCAATTAAGATAGAACTTTGTTGATGACTGTGGTTCCTGGGGATTGGAATGGCTCCATTCATTCATGTAGCATACAGAAGAAAAATACTGTAGTTTCCAGTGCTGGAAAATTGTGGTAAGTTTAAACCACAGCCACAAGTATTAGGTAGATTGCAGAATGCTGGTAAGGGGTATTAAAGTTCTGTCATATTCCTTTGAACTACTTTTTATTTCTCCGTTCAAGCAAAGATCAGGTTAAGGTTTTATTTGGCTCTACTCACTTTACATTTGTGTCCATCCATTTCTATAAACATTTGGAAGTTCTATTCCAAAGGCCTGATTTCTATGGGACTGCTGTGGATGGGTTTTTGTAACAAACATTTCTTTCACCTCTCACTTCCCCTTCCTTCCTCACCTGTAATTGTGAAACCATTGTGGAGCTGAACAGTGACAGCTTACACAGACATCAAATTAGATATTTGGTCTTGAAAAATGGAACCCTTAAAGCTTACATTAAAAAAATATTTAGCACTGAAAAATCAAATAGTGACATTGAACGTTTTTCAGCTTTTTTTTTTTTTACTGAAGAAATGAACAGTGACATGAAAAAATGATCTTCCTGCTGGCATTTTACACAGAGAAGTTTTCCATGTTACTGCAAACCGTCACTGTTTTGGCGTCAGTGGGTAGATTTAAACGGAAGGCCCCTTCACAGACAAGGGATGTTATGTCCACCTATGCATTAGCTTTAAAGAAAAACATAAATGCATGTTAAACATTCTCACATTGTTAGAACTTCAAATGTTAAGATAACTGGGAAGCTAAAGTGAGCTCTGGTGCACATCTTTTTTTGTATTATGAAAATGTAGTGAATCACTTGTCAGTTTATACAGCTAATGATGACACTAAAACAAGATAAAGAAAACCCTTACTTGTGGTTGAGGAGTGGTACTTGGACCTGAACCCTCCATCTTGAACTGCAGGTAAACAGAGAGGCAGTAAATGCATGGCCCCACAGCTTCTGTTCAGCCCCACACACGACACCAGAACCGAAACCACAACCAGAACACACAGAGCTCTGCAGTTAAGGCTGGTGCCTACTCTACCAGAACCGAGACATTTGGGTATTGTTTTCAATGTGGCAACAACAAAATTTGACTCCTACATTTCATATTTGAACATTTCATATTCAAATTGAATTTATTTCACAAACGCACCAGGACAATAAGAAAGAGGGCAGTTTTTTAATTGACGAAGGAAGAAGACGGGAACAAGATTTTTGATAAAGAAGATTTCTTGTGATCCTCGATGGTTGAGAAATGGGGAAAACAAGTCAACGCTCAATTGCATAGAGTTGGTCAGGGTGCATACAGTTTTATGGTCCCACTGATAGTGGAAGACACTTTCTGTAAATAAGGATGTGGGCCAGTCTTTTGGAGGAGGATCTCTGCTGGCCGTCCTACTGACCATCAGCTTCTGGGAGCTCACAACACAGCTGCCAGCTAACCCCGCCCACAAAACATCTGGCCAGTCACACCACAGCTACCGGACACCCCTGCAAGAAGGAAGGTTTCTGCCCGGTGTCAAGAACAAGATCTCCAAAACCAGGGCTGTGAGAACACACAGCCTTCACTCTCAAAACCTCTCTAAGTGAAAAAACATAAAGGCTGAAGCGGAAATGACCGTATCAGTGGTATCAGTAGTATCAATGTCACGGTTTCTTTTTCAGTGGATTTTTTTTCCATGGACAAACACTAAATGTCAGTGTAATCTGTGACTACTTCAGCTCCATAAATCAGGCTGTAACAAACAGCGTTGTCGCAATGCTCAGGGTTTGGAAATTTCCTCTTTTTTTAAATGAAGCAAAAGAAGATATCTAAAAATGAAATGGAGTGAATGCATCCAGCAAATAGTACAAAATACAAAGCTACCCTGAATCTGAATGGACTGCATCATTCCCGAAGTCTCCCTGAGAGCAGACGACAGTAAACCTCTGACACACATCTGCTGTGAGGTTTCGGCTACACAACTCAGTTTATATTAAAAAAAGATGCTCTGTGTCATTCTTCCCACCAGACAGACTGACTCAGCCACCTGGACAAATATTTTACATCTCAGAAACGAAAAACCATCAGAGAAAACTAGCAGCAAAACCCATCTGCTCCAAAGGTTTCTATCACATCTTCCCGTTTATGCAACCATACACAACTGCAAAAAAAGCCAGACTTTCTCTTTCACTACACAGTCATCAGGTGAAACATGTGGTAACACCGTTCTAAGGCTCACCTGCGTACGTTGAAGTCACTTCTTTCATGGTTCCACTCTGTGTCATGTGTCCCAGAGGCTCCAACTCATTTCCTCAGTCTGAAACACAGACTTCCCCACGACACTTATATAAAGCCTCAGAAGACAGGAAGAGAGGGAGGAGAAACCACCACAACAGAGTCCAGAGATTACAGAGCACAGCATTTGGGGAGAGAGGGGGGTTGATGAGTGAGAGAAGTGAAAGGTTTCATATTTTTGAGCAAGAAATCTCAGCTCATCCACTTCAATTAGTCAGGAGTGATGAGATAATCACAGGACAGCTCCTGCACACACATCCACAGCAGAAAGTTAGTAAAGCATTTAACACTTTCTGAATTCGGATTTCAAAATAGTGTTTCATAAAGGCAAAATAGACATTTCCCTCATGAAAATGATCAGTGAATTCTGGGATCGGCCCCTACAATGGGGGGGCTCCATGGTGGTGTCTTCACTTAACAATGACAGGGTCTGAGTCCTTTGTTAAGTTTATATGTATACTCTTTGAGTATGACAAAGTATGAGTATGAATAAGTTCTCTCCTGGTTGCGTCCCCCCGGACACCCCAATTATAATACATGACGACGAGGCAGTGACCTTTTTCTTTAAACAAACACCAGTTTAAATATCAATCAATCAAAATAAATTTCATTCATGTCATGCTGTTTCACAAGAAATGTCTCCTTGAACTAAACCAAACTAAAAGACAAAAGGGGCCTTGCTTTTAAAAAGAATGACCCTCTGGCAGAAGCAGACTCAGGGAGAGTGGCCATTATTGACCATCTGGGGATTAAGAGGACAATTTGAGCAAGGGAATTTTTCTGGGTAAACATTTGTTTTCAGCTTTGTCAAAAATGAACATTTTAATCCTAATCTTAAAGAAAGAGAAGGTATCTACGGCCTATCTACTTTCCAGATCTGTGCTGGTTCCACAGAGTGGAGCCTGATAACTAAAAGTTCTGCTTCCCATTCCAATTCTACATTTCTACCTCAAAAACTCTTGGAACCACAAGTAGACCTCTGTTTGGAGAGCATAGGGTTCTGTTGGGAAAATATCCAACTATGTGGTCTTTAGGGTGTATTGGTGGTTAATCATGACAAATTCTATATATGATTTATGCATAATTGTATATACATATATATACAGCTGGTCCAGGAGTCCCAGACCGGTTCCTGAGGGGGCCCTCTGAAGGAGTCCAGGGGTTTTCCTCCAGCTGCTCCTGCCTCTGCTGCCCCCTCCTGTTACCCAGGAACCATCGTGGGTTTGTTGTTTCTGCATAATAGGTGGCAGCAGCGCGGTCACTGGTCCAGGTAGTCCTGTCCTTCACTGGACATGTGGCTTTCAGCCCGGTCATCGCCTTTCACTGTCCATTCAACAGTTCTCAGTTTCCTCATTGCCACAGTAGATTTCCCTGACCCACATGTTTTCTGCACGATAGCATAGATGATTAGCATCTCTGTCCAGCACCATGATGACATGGACCATTAAGGTCTGAATCCATTCATCACCATGTGCAGATCCCAGGATGTGACATGTGCCGAGTTCCCTGTGATGGACTGGTGGACTGTCCAGGGTGACCCCGCCTCTCGCCCGTTGACCACTGGGATAGGCTCCAGTTCCCCCCGCGACCCCATCAGTGAAGAAGCGGTAACGATAATGGATGGATGGAGTGCCAAGTTATCGTTAAACCCCAGACACCAATAATGACACAAAAAGTCATTTGGAGCATCTACTAATTAAAGAAACATTCCATACAAATGGTGCTTTTGAAAAAGGTCAATTTGAGGAGTTTTTTTGGTCCAAACTAAATCAAATGGTCTGAGCTGCAGATATGACACCAGAGGTCATTGCATTTATGTCTTTTTAAGTATGTTTATTTCAAAGCAAAGACCAAATGGTGATTCGGTATAATGCTTCATATATATTCCAATTCTCCCCAGAATCATTTGTCATTTGCATATTCACAGCCAAGACACAGAAACACATTTATCCAAGTGTTTTGGTACAAAAACAGGTTAGCAGCTAGCTGAAAAAGGGACATGAGAGAGGACAGTCTACCGCTGACAGACTGTGGGCTGTAATTACGTGCTTTGCCTGTTTATGTAGGCAGGACATAAGATAGCAGCTTTTGGAAAATGTTTACGATTCATAGAAGTAACACTGTTTGTTAAAGCCATCGTTTCTTGATTGCGTGGTTTCTTGTGGTCGGCCCCAGCAGCTCTGATGTTTCCTGGAGATTATCTGATTGATTTAGGAAGATAAACTGCTCTTTAGACAGCTCTATCCTAGAATAAATGCATAACGCTTTCCTTTCAAATAAAGAGTTGAACGAGTGTTCCAGAACACTCGAATGAAACGGAAATATAAAAATAGATAAACAAACAAATAATAATCAAGGAACTGAAGGGAAAAATTTTAAGATTTTTAACTTTGGAGAAATCATTGTGTAAGTGCAAAAACCCCCAAAACGTTGAACTATTAACAAGGTGTTGACCAGAGCAAGATTTACAAAAACACCATTTTATTCTTCATGCTTCAGTGACCGTTTCTAATCATTTGTGAAACTGCTTGGAATAATCAATGGAATATTCCAGTAGTTGCAAATATCTGCAACTCTCACATCCGTCCACCCTCCCCGGAGGCTGAAGAGTGGGACCCCCTGTAGGCGGACCACACCCTTCAGTCCCCTTCTCTCCAGGCCATGTTGTGGAGCCCCCGGCTCCGGCTGCCCCCCCGCTCCACATCACACCCGACCCCTCTGGCCCCTGCTGTGGGCGGTGAGCCCGATGGAGGGGGGGCCATGTGGCCTCTGGGGGCTGAGCCCGGCCGGGCTCCATGGGCTAAAGCCCAGCGAGCCCCCCCCCTCTGGGCCTGGCTCCACGGCTCCAGGGTGGTAATAAACACGTAAAT